TATTTTCTAATTTTCCAACAGAAAACTTTGAGCATCACTCAGCTGACAGGAATCAATTGTGCTGACCATTCTGAGAGCAGACAGGCTGGTTCTATGTTATTTGGAAAACCCTCAGTCATTTCTGTGAAGCAATGCAAATGGGAAGTCTAAAGAATGACTGACATACAGTGGAACAGTACAGAAAATACACAATTAATTGTAAAAGACTGAGACAATGAAATAAGCCCCTAGAAGCCCAGGAGCTCACATGCTGAGACTTTTTGGAATGCCAAAAATGATGTTTGTATTCTGGTAATCTGCAGTCTTAGATGGTTGTTGCTTTGGCAGCAGATGAAAAATCTACGTGAGGTGCAGCTGGCAAAGAGGTGCCCAGAGAAGTGAAGTGTTTACACAGAGCTCTGATTACAACTGGTATGTAAGGAAGAACCACATTCCTCATATTTTCATGAGTACAGGAGCTCTCGAGAAGAGGCCAGTGAGACTACTGTCCTGTACTGGCACACCCATACTGGTGACTGTCCTTTGGTTCCCAGGTTCATTAATCAGGTTCACTCAGACAGCTGCACAGTGCCATAAAAGAGCAGGATATTCCACTTGGAACCAACCATTAACAGCAATGCCAGTTCCCAGACAAGTGAAACCACATTTAGCTGTCTTTTGATAAAATTTACTCTCCACACTTCAAGTATTCCTATTATTGCTGCTGTAAAATTTGGTCAACAGAAAAATATCACAGCAGAGAGGGAAAAGAGGATCTGTACTGACAAAACATCAGCAGTGCCTGACATAACACAGCCCACCAAAACTGATGAAACTCAAGGGTTTTTCCAGACTGCATCACAGATGAGTAGATAGAAGCAACCATTTATATTAATTGCTGCTAGACACACGCGAAAATATCAATACTATAAAACATGCTGCTATCTTAAGGACAGGTAAGAAGGCATAGTTCTGAGCAAAAAAAGGCTGCCCTATCACTATAAAGGCTGCTGGGCTGTAGGTTTTAGCAGTTCTATACCACATTCAGAGCTTGCTGCCAAAGGAGTCTGCCTTTGTGTCTTTTCCAGGACATCTATCTTTATAGCTTCTCCTACAGCATGTGTTCTTCCATTCCCTGCTTCTACATGACCAAGACTTGCAAGTACCTTGGCACACTGAAAAAAAAGAAAAACAAAAACCCAAAACAAAAAAAAACCCTTTTGCCTTATTGCTAGCTGCCTCTTAGAGAACATCTTTAATGGATATTCCAAGTGAAAGAAACATGAAGTTTAAGGGAATAGCAAAAATGGGTAACTACCAAAAATACCTACTCTTCTACAAAGAAAGAAGAAAAATCTTGTGTGTTCCTAACAGTTCCTGTCTCTCAACACAGCCAAAGGAAATATGGGCCAACAAAAGTCACAGCTCATCAAGCAGACACAGTGCTGCTGCTGACGAGCTGCTGGGACTACCTTAAACACATCTTACACCAGGAAAGGTTTTACCTCCTACAGGCTTCTAAGAACAGCACCAATCTGTCTCGTAGATGAACTTTAAGTTGAGAGCACAAACATACTGCTTTCGACTTGAAAACCCACACAGCAAGCTTACATGGTTCTGGTATAAAATTATCTGAGAGCCCAAACATAAGACCACCTTTTGTCAGTATTTTAGAAATACTGGAAAGCTGTTTATATTTAAATGTATGCATTCCTATTTAATTGCTTTTGTTTCACACTTTCTACCAATAATTATTTTCATTTTGCATTGTGTCTAAGAAGTCTTTTTAAGTACCTTAAAGTATCTTTTTTTTTCAATACCTTCCCCCTTTATTTTGCCTAATACTGCAATTGAATGCTTCTAAAATACACCAACCATTTAAAAACAGAAATTCTTTGTTCCTTGCCGGTGGGCAGTCAGCCAACATTCAAGATTTTGAGAGGGGAAATGGCTTGGCAAGAAAATTAAAGCAAGCAGATATCAATAGGGACAGTACATCAATAGGGACAGTATGCTACACTTGCTGAACTTGCCCTCCTCCCACTGGGCCCATCTGGGCCCCAAAACATTTCTACATCTCTGTATCAGATTTTTAAAAATAGTGAAAAAAAAAAAAGTAAAAAAAACCCCCGCACCTTAATTTTCCCTGGCATACTTTTCTCTATTTTCTCTTCATGTTTTTCTGCCACCATTCAGGTCACTGTAGGACCCTTGCTCCTTGAGAAGAGTCACTTATGACAGAGCACAAGGCACTTCCTTGGCTTCTCTCTTCCCAGTAACACTGCCACGATTTATTAATTGCAGGCTACGACAAGTACCCCATAGTACTCCCTTGTGGAATTTCACAGCTGTCCTTGTATCACTCTTTCCAAAGCCCCTGAGACTCCAAAACTTCCTCCTGAGATGTTTAGCTAATTTTGACTAGTTTTACAGAGGCCCAAGCCTACAAGATGATGCATGTACGTTGCTGGTAAGAGAGGGATTTTCACTGAACGTTTTAAAGAGACCTGAAAGGAAGGCAGGTGTCATTAAAAAAAAGCAAAGAGGGGAGGGGGGAGACAGCTAACAAAGTGACAGCTGCAGTGGGGGAGAGATTGCCACTGCTCACACATGCACACACAGGGCACCACACAAACACTATTCCTGTAGAACGGCAACAAAAAAAGCACTTGTTCCACTGGGGAGAATTTAACTTGCCTGATTTTCTTTCAAGGAACCTGTACAATTAAAACTGCCTATGAATTTGTCCACCAAAATTATGTTTCTATGACAAAGCTGCAATACAGACAAGGTTTTGGATTCATGCTCCTTCCCAGAAGACTGACCCAGGTGAATATTTCAGAAAAATAACACTGGAGGAAATATTAAAGACAAGTGATTTCTTCTATATCTTTTCTTCTACAATCTTACTTCTGGATTGACTTGCAGCTCAATGTAGCATAGCAATGAATTGTGACAGACATTAGTTAACAGTAACACCTCAGTGGTGTGCACTGCAAAATACATTATTCTTAACATTAAGGTACCTAGAAATTTAACTGGATTATTTATAGCATGGTAGCCTCCTATTTCTTTAGTAATACTGAAGAAACCAATTTCTGGGAATAAGTTTTACATTCCCTTGTCTATGCCTCTAGTTCAGGCCCTATTTCACATGGGCAAAGTACCCATTCAGTTCTGAGCAATCCAAAATTAATCTTCTAAATTACATACGCAAATGCTAATATACCTATTTTCTGTAAAGTTCATAAAGTTTTTTTAGTAAACCATAGAAGAAAATATAAGAGGCTGTTATTAATAATGTTCACTAGAGAAAACTCAGCTCATAAAATGGCACAAATTATAAATCACAGGTGAAAGAGGTTGTTAATAAACAAATAGCATGTGAAGTACATTTTATCAGTAAACTTGTACCAGGAAAAACAGATTCATTTGAGTGACTGAGCCTCACAGATTTTTGACAGCTACTGGAAAATGGCTATTTTTTACACTTACTAGTCTTCAGATACGTTGACTACACAGCTGACAATTTTAGCTGACAGCATGCATTTATCCTACTTACAGTTTAGGCAAGGTACAAGAACTACTCCCCTTTACTATTCTCAGAAAAGGTACAAGTGATCATGAACTCCAGGGGAAATATCTTACTTTTAGCAGCTAAATGACATCCAGTCCCCCAGGATACATCACAATTTGTGATTAGCTGATACCAATGCCTCCTTCAAGGAGGTAACAGCCAAAAGGAGTCTCTAAAAGCAGATACTACAAAAGCTTTAAAAAGAAAAAGCTGTGGGGGGCGAAGAGGAGGAGGAGGAGGAAAGGAAGTACCTTTATTTCCAACTGTAAAAATCTTTAGGAAAAGGACCAAAGGAATTCCAGCATAATTGCTTAATACTCTGGAGCTCTCAAGTACCTATTAAACAGCTACAGATTTTAACACCTAAAATACCAAAAAGAGGTCAGAATAACTTAGGCTTTATACACATGGATATCTGCAGTCAAAACAGGAACAAAGATAACAATAAATTTCTACATTTGGTCTAAAACTGCAATCACACTGCTTGTGGCACTACTCTACTCACAGTCTAATATCATCTTCATATTGTCTCCTTTCTGTGATAGTCTCGTGAGAGTAAAGCAGGGATTCATTACATTTATTCCAAAATTAATACTATGTTACAGTCAGGACAAAACACATGCACACAAGGATGTACATCATGTTCACATTCTCAGGGCTCTCTTAAAATAAAAAGTTGCAATTCTTACAAAGATCACTTTTCACAGTGAAAAAACACATCCATCTGCCCCCAGTTCACCCACTTGGGGAACTACAAAAAAAGCCCCCAAAACAGCAACCAAAAAGAACTAGTTAACCCAATCTGAACTGTTCTAAGGAAACCCCACATCATGTCATCGCATAAACAGAAATTATCTATGCTTGCTTTGTGGCACACAAACACAGAAATTACACTGCACTCTAGTTGTCAGTATCTTTTAGATGACAAGAGACATGAAAGAAAATTTACAGGATGCTACCATGTTAGGTTAGGGAACCGAAAAGAGAGTTTATTAATAATGAATGATGAACAGAGCTACCGAAATAAGGTAGAGATAATAGTACGTTATACATGTTTACCAAAATCGAAGGTAAGTGCAGTCAAAACATCATCAGATATTACAAATAAAACCAATTTTCTTATATTGTAAGAAGGAAGCGCTGTTCTGCAACTCTTACCGTCAAAAAATTCCATATATTATAATCTCCTAAAACTGAATGTTTCAAATTTTGCAGCCTTCATTCAGTATTACTTTTTACTATTTCTTCAATAGTACCAACGAGAGCAATTTCAGTGGAATATTTACCCGTTTGTTTTGGGGTTTTTTACGCAGACTTGCTAGTGCCGGAAGATCACTTAAGCTGACATTGGAAAGGACCCTGGCTTTGCCTGAATATGACTTTTTTTTTCCTTCCCGTGAGTTCCATCACATCACTCTAACCATGCTTTACCTCTCTGGAAGTTATGTCCTTACAGCAGAAGGCATCGATCTTGCAGAGTCACTGCAGCCACAGCTTAAGCCTGAAGACCGCTGCTAAGGGTGGCGAAGGAAACCAGCAAACCCTCGTGTGCTCCGCCGCTTCCTGCCCACCCAAGGACACTGCATCACAGCCCTGGGACACGGAGCGCCCAGGCACAGCTCACCGCCCCGAGAGCCGCGCAGGAAGCCCGAAGGAAGCCGAGCCCGTCCCGCAGCTCCCGAAGGAGGGGCGGACCGAGGCGGCCGCTCAGGCGCGGTGCGCACCCGCGAGTGCGGGAGAGCCGCAGCCGCCCTGCGCCATCCCGGTCCCGCCCGAGCCTGCGGCCACCCCCAGCCCTTCCCCCGGGAAAACACAAAACACACACGGGCGGGTGGGCCTCCCCCACACACACAGTCCAATGCGCGGCTCTGGGGCTCTGCCGGGGCCGGGGCGCCCCCTCCGCGCCACCCCCCGCGCAGCGCCCCCCGCCGGCCGCCCCGCGCTACCTCCGCTCGCTGCCTCCGCCTCAGCCGCCTCCTCCCGGCCCGCGCCCGCGCGCCGCTTCCGCCCGCGCCGCGCGCCCCAAGCCCCGCCCCCGCCGCAGCACGCGCTCCCCCTCCCGCCCGGCACTGCGGGCGCCCCCCAGCGGTGGGAGGGAGCGGCGGCAGAGGCGTGAGGGGGCGGGCTCCGCGCCCCGCGGCTCTACGGGAGTTTGTCCTCGTCCGTGCCCTGGGCTGCGGAACGGGGGCTGGGCATGTTTAGTCTGGAGAAAACTGAGAGGGGGCTCATCAGTGCTTTTAAATATCTCAACTCTTGGCGAGTTATTGGCCAGGAGGGTGGTGCCCCGCGACACGACGGCGAGCAAAGGCCGTGAACTAAAACAAGTTCCGCCTCAACATGAGGGTGGTAAAGCACTGGAACAGGCTGCAAAGGGAGGTCATGGAGTCTCCGGCCCTGGAGACATTCAAAACGCATTCCTGTGTCACCTGCTCTAGGTGACCCTGCCCATGGCAGCGGCCTGGACTAGGGCATCTCCAGAGGTCTATTCCAACCCTAAGGGTTCTCTGATTGTTCGTGGCTGGCGTGGTACATAAACCTCTCCCCTGCCTCCCGCCCTCACCGTGATAATCATCTAAATAAAATTCATTGTGACTGAAGGACTGTGCTAGAGAGTCACCCCAGGCTCTTCCTGCAAGGTGCTGTTCAAAGGAAGCTGGTAGCAGTTAAGGAAAGGTGAACGTAAGGGCAAAGTAAAGAACACGTTGGACAGCTGTGGAGTTGATAACATTCAGAAGCACCTGTTGGTCACCTTATCTCCATCCCTTCACCGTGCGTCAGAGGCCACATGGCTTCTCCCTGCTTTTTAACCTGCATATTCTGCACGGGTTAAATGCAGGAAAAATCAGCGTTTAAATGCGATACTGTTCTAGAAAAAGGGATAATGATACATCAGAGGGGCCTAGACCTAAGTATACAGACAAAACTCTTGGCAGATGCTATGTCAGCTGATGAATCTGAGATATGTGATAAAAACTATATGACAAAACAATATCAAGCACAGTGTTTCTTTTCAGTGGCATATGAAAATCAAACCTCAAAAGTGTTTATATAGTTCTCATATTTGTGGGTAATAACACCTCTTGGTATCATTTCAAAGGGTAGATAAAAGCCCAGGATTGCAGGTATGTTACAGTGTCCTGTATTATTTGTCAAAATAATAATAAATAAAAAAACCTCACCAGAACTAGGTTGCTGCTGCAATGTTATTTCATTCCTCTCCTGCCAATCATTATCTGTAGACGGTCCTTTTGAATTTAATTTGCATAGCTATTGCTCTGTCCTTTTCAAATATGAGTTAAGAATTTCCTCTCCTAATATGTTTAAACTGCTAAATGGTAATGGCTAGAGAACAGCACACTAATCAATATGCTCTGAGATTAGCATAGTTTCTGCCTTCTGGCTTAACTAGTTAATCCTATAATCTGTATTTGCAGATAAGAACACATGCAACTTTATACTTGCTTTACTGCAACTATTTTTCCCTCTTCCTGACCCCTTACCAGTTGTTTTTACCCTTTCCCTTTAGGGAATGGGCCTGATCTGGGTCTATCTTTCCCCCCAAAGCATATTTTTTTCCAAAATCATGAATATTCTATATTTACTACTGCATTAAAGCTAACACTGTATTAAACCAGTGTATTAATATTTTTTGGAAAACCTCTATAAGGCATGCTTGAAGAACATGTAATTATGTCATGTTAGAGTATCCTTTAGGCCATCTCTAGATGCTTTCTGTGTTCAAACCATCTTCCATATAGGAGAGATGTTCCCAAAGACCCAGACCAACCTTGGAGTCTTACTAATAAATAGTGAAAGCTGAAATATAATATAAAATAATAATTGCCTTTATGGTCCAGGAAACTACAGGTGAAGTAATTGTAGAGTGAAGTCACTGTAAAGAACAATGAAGGCAGATAAGTTACAGGAAAAAAATGTGAAGGCAGCATGTAGTTTTTAATTTAAAATGTAAAATTTATTAGACTGTTGAAAAATAGGTATTTGTATCAGCAACTGCAATTTTTATTTTAGGTTTAATTGCCAGAACATTTTAGGATAACAGGAATGAAAAAATTCTGCTGGAATAATGCAAATGTCTTGAATGTGTGCATCAGGTCTAGTCTAACCCTCAGGAACTAAATCACAATGTGGATTGTAGCTAGATCTCATACATGTATATGTTAACAAAAATTGTATTCCTGTCCTCTATTCTCCTGACCTTTTCCTCTCTCCTCTGCTTGGTTTTGGTTTTGTTTTTTTTTAGTGTAACCATTATGTATTTTCAGTGGGTCCTTCATATTCCATTTTTTTTGTGATCCATTCCATGGCAGAAAACCAATTAGTATTTTCAGCTCACAATTTAGGCATGTCCTTCACGCTCATTCCTTTTTGTCCCTGTAGTTAGAATATAGGCAACATCAGACAGGATCAGAATATGCCAAAACAGTATGTGATCTTGCAGTAGAATAAGTACTTTACTAATAAAGTTACAGTTGAAAAGGGAGATGAACAAATCTATGTACCAGAGCTGAACAGAGTAGGGCTGCTATAAAAGACAGATTATGACATGGATTCAGATCTGTTTTTTACATCAGCAGAGGCTAAAACTCAGGCCAACCTCCTAGGAATGAAAATTTATTTGTAATTGAACAGGAACTAACTAAGGAATTGACTGAAACTCTTTACGTAAGTGACGTGCAAGAAACTTTTACCCAAAATTAAATATTTTGCAGACCTAGATGACAAGGAAGACTTTTCCTCAATATTGCCTTCTTTTTCATTGTGAGATGATTTACTCTTCAGTTGATTATTTGCTTCTGAATCACCAAGGAAAAAGAGCAAGGGTTGGCATATACAGTTCCAGCCTTCCATTTACAACAGAAGCACAAAACAACCAACACCATTTATGGTCCAGGCAGGAAGAGGCAGAACCATTCCTGTAAAGAAGAGTGCGTGTCAAGGCTCTGTTAAAGCCTCAAGCTGTGGTGACCACTGGCTACCAATGTTCATGTGATGTCTCCACTGGGATAAAGCACCTGTTGGGAACCTAGTGCTTTCCTGCACTGACAGAGCAAGTTTAGCTGTGTCATCATCTTGGGACATTTTCTACTTAAGGAACTGCATACCTGGTCTCAAATACTGCAAGGTATCAGCAGTACTATTGTAGCTATTGGTGCATGCTGGAGGAGGAAGCACCAAAACTGTACAGGATACAGGATCAGGGAAACCTTTCTGAGGTGACTGAGCAGAAAGGATATCGTTTTTAATAAAACCATGGTTAAAATGCAATTCTCATGATTGCAAGTCAAAATTTAGGCCTTTGTTTCGTAGAAGCACGCAAGACTGGATCCTGTGACTTTATCTCCATGTGTGTACAACAGAAGTAGCCCCCCAGCCTTGCATATTAAATATCCTCTTGCCATAACACAACATCCCTGATGACACAGACCCACACAAATTCATATGGTCGCATAAACACATTCATATAAGTGTTCTTCCTTGCACCGCGGGAGCAGAACCCCGGAGAACGTGCTGGGGGAGGTGGAAGATAAGGGGACACAGGAGCAGGGTGATCATTTTCATGGCGTGAAGGAGCAGTCCTCGTAGCAGAGAGGAGGAGGCCTTTGTGCGTGGAGTGGCAGGAGGGGTGCGGGGCTGCCCCGCGTTGTCCCAAAATAAGTTCCTTTCAGCCGGTGTGCAAGAGGCCAGTCCACACACAGAGTCGAGGTATTTGATTTATTGACAGCTCTGCGCAGAGAGCGGTGCTGGGTGAGAAATCCACAAAGCCTTCACGACGACTCCCAAAACTTCTCTCTATCATACATTTTAGCAACAAAAGCGCTAATGTTCATCGACTACAAGTTACCTCCTTCTCTTACTAATTAGCATTCCATCTTCTATTGGTTAATTATTCTCTCGCTTCTCATGCTAATGAGCCCGCATGCTCAGTCCTTCTCTTCTCTTGAGTCGGTGGTCCGTGAGTCGGTCCCACATCTCCCCCTGCCGGAATTACGTTCTAGCCAGTCACAGCTGCTTCCGCACAGTCGCCAAGTTGTCTTGGGCAGTTTCTTCCTTATCTTGGGAGTTCTGCCGTATGTTCTTGTGGCCCGTGAATTCTGCGTTCTTTGTGTCCACTATCAGTGGTAACTCCTTCTTCCCAGGCTTTGTTAGCCTCCTCCTAGGTCGGATATCACTGAAACATATCCAGCCCTGAACCTTGACAAGGCAATTCTACCGACAGCTAATTTGTCTTTTTAACGCCGGGGCATCACTCAGTGCTTGCTTGACAGCTGCCTGTCTCAGGGATTAAATCCCCCTTCTTACTCATTAGGCTTGAAAGCTCACAAATATCAGAGATCAAAGAACATCCTTTCTTAAGAACATTTTTTTACAAATTCCACATTTCTGCAGCAACACCCGCTCACCTGGCGGGCCGGGCCGGGGCGGGGCTGGGCTGCGGGACACCGCGCTCGCTCCCGCGCCGGCAGAGCGCGCATGCGCGGCGGGTCTCCCCGCAGCGCCCGTCGCCTCCTTTGTGAGGGGCGGGCGCGGCCCCGCCCCGAGCGCGGTGCCGGGCGCAGACGGAGCGGCCGCGGCGGCGCCATTTTGCGGCGGTGCGGGAGGCGCGGGCGGGAGGTGGCTGTGGTGGTAGTGCTGGTAATAGCGGCAATAGCGGTAACGGTGGCGATAACAGCGGCCGTGGGTGTTGTTGCTAATCGGGACTAGCGTCCCCCTTTCGCCCCAGCCCCTTGGCCAGGACTCTGCCGACATGAGCGACGTGGAGGAGAACAACTTCGAGGGGAGGGTGAGTGGCCTCCCCTGCGCGGGCCGTGTCGCGGGGGGGATCGGACCCGGGGGCGGTGGGTGGCGGCACTCGGCGTCCTCGGGCCTAGCGGGGGTGGGGGCAGCGCAGCTTGGCTCTAAAATGGCTCCTTCGGGCGCCCGAGGCTTGCCTGGGCCGTGGGTGACGGCCCGCGTCCCTCTCTGCTGCCCGCGTCTCTCCTCACACGCTCCCTGCTCCCACCGCCCCGGCGGGCTGCGGGCGCCGGGTCCCGGTGCTGCGGGCCGGCCCCTGCCCAGCCAGCGCAGGCTGATCCTGTGCAGACAGCGCTGCTGGAGCCCCGGGGTTCCTCCACGCTGCTCTGTTCCCATCCCGCGGTCCCGAGCCGCCTGGTTGCCGCCGGGCCTGGGGGTCGCTGTCCTGCCCGTTCCCGCGCCCCCGGCCGGGCCGCCGAGGCCTCCTCCCGCCCGAAAGAGGAGGGACCCCGCGCGCGTCCTTTTGTGCGAGGTGAGCGGTATCTCCTGGCTCGGGAGCTGCCTCGGGCCGGGCCCCCTCCCGCCACTGGGGAGGTCCGGCCGTCGTTATTAAACCATTGAAAGTCATCGATCGTGAAGCTGAAGGCTTCGAACGAGCTGCTGTGGCTTTGTAACCTCGTTAGGCCTATGTCTTCCCTCTGATGGCTGCGGGTTTTCATGTACACGTGTGACAGGTCCCTACCATTTTCAGTGTTTTTGTGGTTTTGTTTTTTGGGTTTTTTTAAGTGATGATCGAGCAGGAATTAGAAGCTGCTTGAAACAGGAACGAAATGTCTGCTCCTCCATCACAATTTACTTTTTTTTTTTTTTAATTTTGCAGAGGTTTTCTTTTTGTTTGTTCTTTTGAGAGATTCTTTAGAAGAACACCTGAGCATCCTCTTGGTAACTCTCTCTGATGATCCAGTGACAGCAGCCTTGCAGTTACATATATAGCTACTGTCTGGGGAAACAAGCAATAAAATCTTGAAAGAACGGCATTACCTTCCACAAATTATTTTTGCATTACTATTGTTGCCATTTTTGTGGTGATTAAAAAAAAATCCATAGGCTGCAAGTTCTTTACCCAGCTATGCAATAACTGCTGCTGCTTCCTCGGTGAGGTAAACAAAACCTTGCCTTGTGTTGATTGCTTGGACAAAAGGTGGCTGTGTAGCTAAGCAGTATTGGGGTAAATAAACAGATCTTTGAAGGGGTAACAGCTAAGTTTCAGAAACTTGAGCAGTGAGCGTGCTTGGTTTTTTTTTTTCTCTTTTTCAAGATGATGGTAATCTCCCATTTTACAGTCAAGATTTGTATCTTTAAGGATTATTTTCTTGTCTGTATTCCCAGTGTGGGTTATTGTTAGGGAAGAAATTGTGTTAGGTTAATTGTCAGAACATCGGTATTGGGCTCTTTGATGGGACTGTTGTTTTTGTTACAAAGCTATGATAGCTCTGTACTTTCAGCATTTCTGCACATCACCTCCTCCCAGATGTAGAATTAAAATGTTTTGAGAGAACATGAAGTCTGAAAAGTCCTACAGTAGCAGTTTCTGTGACTTCTGCTTATCAGTTTTTGGGCTGTTTTTTTTTTTTTTTTTTTTTTTTTTTTTTTGTGATGGAAAATTTACCTGTTGGCAAGAACTGCTGACTGTGTTGAGTCTTCATTTGGAAAACTTCGTTTGTTTTTGCTCCCTACACTGAAAATTCTCAATCAGTAAGGCATAACTGAGCATAATGGCAGGTACTTGATTGATTTCTAGTTGGGAGTTTTGTAGTTCTACTGAAGAACTTTTATAAGCCTTTTTATTTTTTTTTCTTCAGTAATACTGCTTTGTTGTGATGGTACTAACATTCTTGAAATAAGGAATTCTATTTCAGAGTAATGCTTTATTTTTCCTTTCCATTGGAAGTGCTCACAGGCATAAAATTAAGCACATATAACTTTGAGGCTGTAATGTTTAGTCTGCTATTCCCAACTCTGTCGGACACTGAATGTCCTGATGCTTCAGTTTGCTACATCCAGGCACTGAGCACTGAGAGCAAAGCAGAAGTTTTCATTGAGAGAAAGAACTGCAGAAACTGGAAGAAAGTTTGTAAAGAACCTGTTTTCATGGAATTTGGCACGAATAAGAATTCTGAGTACCCTTTCAATTCTTCCACCCCCTGTCAGTTTAAGTGCTAATTAGTGTGATGAGCTTTTAAAAACTGAATGCCGAAAGAGTAAGGCTGTTTTAAGTTTAGTTTAAGGTCTTTTATATTTCATCTGTGTATATGGATGTTGTCCCAAAAGCACTTCAGTGAAAGTTGAGTATTAGCAGAATTGTTTTAAATGCTAATTTTATGGACAGTAAGATACTGTATGTGCTTTGCCTCTAATTTATGATTTTAAATTCATATTAACTTATCTGAATAGGCTATTAATAGTTATGGAAATACCTTTCAATGAAATTGCTTAGTTTGCACTCTTTAAAACTTCCATTTCTAAAGTATTGTGTGTGAAATCATTGTAGAGCTTTTCCTTCTTGAACTCACTCCTTTATTGACTTTTTTTTTAAGCTCATATTTATCAAATATGCTCAGACTAATCAACATCTGCTCTGGTTTTGTGTCATTTTGTTTCAACTTGTTTCAAGCAAATTCAACTTTGTTTCAAGCAAGTTCTTTATTAAGAATGTGGCTGGTTGAACAGAAGAAAACCCCCTCCTCAAGCAAGGTGATTTAATAGAAAGAAATTTACAGAGGAATTAAAAATACAGTGGACGTGCTAGAGCTAAGTTTGTGGACATTAGGAATTAAAAAAAATTTAAATTGTATTTCTTATCCAGTGACTTGGCTTTGGAAACATCAAAGTATTTTATCACCATTGAATGTTTTTTGTAAACAGATTAGACAAATGAGGCTTTTTTTATCTTTTATTTCTGTCAGATGGCAGGCAACTCTTACTTCCTTTCATATTTTTTGTTATTTTTTATTATTTTTTATAAATTTTTGTTATTTTATTATTTTTTATTTGGTGTTCAATCCTTGATGCACCTTTAGATGTTTCCCAGAGCAATGAACAGAAGGGAGTCTGAACAAACCTGCATTTCAGTAGCACCACTTGAAACTTTGATCAGTTGTTTCTGTTGAGCTTCTGGTAACATTTAATTTCTGTAATCTTAACAGTTTAGTAGTTTTCTATCAGTATATTTTACCAGTGTTGTTTGTCTAAATAGGCAAAACCTTTTATCAGAATAAAGATAAAATTCCGTTTTACAACTCTGTATTGATTGTCTTCATTCTAATGGTCCTGCTGGATGCAGTATGTTATAGTAGAATAAATAGTATAATCTAATAAAACACTTCAAGAAATGCAGGATTTTGCATGTGGCCCATCCTGTTGAAGGGAATATGCAAATTTCATAGGTACACAAATGGCTTTTGGGTTAGTTTAGCTGTGAAACTGCCTTATGTTTGCTTCATAAAGTTTGGATGCAAAATACTTAGATACCTATGGAATTACGGAACTGATCAATTTTGAGATTATTTCTTTGGCAAAAAAAACCCCAAGGGCTTGCTTAGCTATTGTATTACACCTCTCCTGCAGTGGCAGTCTGCCACCTCTATGGAAAGGCAGGAATGTTGCTTCCCACACCTTTTCAAACACAAGCACAATGGACTGCTAATGCTCAGGGGTTCTGCATTCCCTTGGAGAGTGCTGTGATCACCCTGCAGTGTCTAATGACAATGTGTGAGATTTTTTCTTCTGGAAGTCTGATTTTTAATTTTTATTGTTTTAATCAAGCTTAATAAATTTGGCATTGTTCTGGACCTTGCCAGCTGGGAAAACCGCTCCTTTTGAACACGTTCTTTTTGCTGTCTTCCGTGTCTGGTAGAGGAATGACTACAGAACCCTCCCTGAAGAGGTGATTTTCAAGCCTCAGTGAGAAGATGAGCTTGTAATTTCAAAAAGTTTATTGCTGAAGCCTTTTCTTTCTTTTCATACGTGGGATCATTGCGAAATACATAAAGTTTGCTTATGTTAGTAACTTTTAAAATATCCATGTCTTCTAGGTAACAACTTAAAAGATGCTTTTTATACAGAAGCTTATTATGTGTACTATTGTCATAGTCATAGAAGATCAGCTAATTAAGGGATCCATTTTTTTAGTATAGTGACAGATCACAGTATGAAGCAAAAAGGATTTAACTTCTCTTTTGAGCTTCAAGGAAGGTTGGTAGATTCCTGCCAAAATATAATCTTGTCCTCATAAATGAGATGTCAATAGCTTAACAGTTTTATCCGGTGTATGTGGGCTGCTGCTAAATTCATGTTTCTTTTTTGACTGCTTATATTTTTTTGTCCCCTTTTAATAGAGTTTGACTGCATTTATTTTTTTAGTTTGGGTAGGAGTTTTTAACAAGATTTTTTGGAAATGGTATTGCTTGACCACTTGTCCTGTCTTTTTTTTTCACTCCAGGTCAAATGAATTTCACCTGATATTTCTGTGGGATTTAATATTTTGGGTTTTTTTTTTCATTTCCCATGCTTTGCTATAGAAAGCTTAGTTTAAACTTAGGTCATGATTTTTAGTTAGCATCTCACTCTAAATTTTGATAGCCTTTCAGTCATACTCTGAAATTGTAAGGTGAGAGTTAGGGTAAGGCATGACAAGTTCAGGACAGAAGAGTAGTGTGAAAGAACATGAGATTGTTTTGTTTGGTTGGTTTGATAAAGGTGTTGGTTGGTTGGTTGGTCACTTGTTTGTTTTGTTTGTTGTGGATCCCCCCCATGTTCTTTATCATACCTTCTTTTGATGGGTGGAAAATGGAAAGAATACTTCTTCAAGACTTCTGTAATTCTCCTCTGCATAAAAGCGTTTAAATGCTTTTAAAACAGTAATTGCATTGGAAAGTAGGATTTCTTTTGAAAAATGCAAGGGATTTAAGTGGTAGATAGAACTTTTTGATCAGTTAAACAGTTTTATCAGTATGGATGAAATACGTGGACTGACGTCCACCTGGCTCAGATGGATCATCTAAAGCTGTTGGTAGTTGCTCAGTGTCTGGGTTTATATGATCATGGAGTAGTGAGGGTGGAGGAGAAATCCTTTCTATGTCACTTTGGTTTGTTACTTCCTGGGAATGAAGGAAGGTAACAAGGATTAAAAATACTCCTCAGTACTCTCTTTAAATGCTTCTAGCTGTGTATTTTATCCAGAGAATCAGTAACTGAATCTGCAAATTTTTTTTTATTTTTGTGTTTGTCTACAATTTTGGCTCCAAGTTCCAATTCTTGGTGAATCATTAGTCCCATTTCCTGGTGTGTATTTGAGGAAACCACTACATCTTACTCTGAGGAAGCACACTGTTACAACTGAGTTTGGTTTTTTGTAATTACTTTTTGCAGGGGGGAGGGTGTTTGGGTTTTTTTGTGTGGGTGGGTTTTTTGGTGTTTTGGGGAGAGATGTTTCCTGGAAAAGTGTTATTGGCAGATGCAGGGTTTATTTTGAAAGGGAAGTCTGATCTGAAGAATATAATGAAGTTCTGTTTCTTTTCCTGCAGACTCTAGTGGCAGCAAATTTAGATAGTTTGACATGGGGATAGTGAATTATCTGCCTACAAGTTTGCAAGGGTGAAAGTAGTGACTGGACAGCTGCATAACGAAGCCCAAGGCATTAAGATAGGTACTGTCTGTAGGAGGCTGGTGGGATGAGGAGCTGAGTTTACACTGAGTCTCATCTGTGGCCCTTGAATGACTAAGGATCTTTAGAACAGAAAGATAAGAAAGTGGTGCTGACGATCCAAAGTGCAATTTTAGTCTTTTCTCTCCTACACAATATTTAGTTTCTGTGGTAATAACAGAGCTAAGATGAGGATGCATAGGCTGCTTTAAGACTGGTACAAAATTGAGGTATTTTAGTGCATTGGGGTAATAGAGTTGTCTGCTTTCTTATGTTAAAGATGACATACTAAGAGCGTTGAGTACTTTTGTCATATGTATTGCAGAATGGATATAAGTGGTTCATGAAGAACAATTGGGTTGGTCTGTGGTGTAGACTAATATACAGCTTGCTAATTGTTTAATTATAGTGGTAAGTAGAGAAGAAAAATTCTTTAAAATCTCTCTTCGTGATTCCTCGAAGCTCTGAATCCCTTAATCCCTGCCTGTAGTTTTGCTGATATAAATATTACTAGGCACTTTCTCAGAATCATCCTTAAGTCCTTAAACTTTTGCAGGTTATTGTGATTCTCTTAGTCTCCTTTAGAAGCATTGTAGGAGTTGTAACTAGGTGAACTATGTTGCATTAGAAGATGAGATGTAATTGCTTCCCAGTGACAGTGTGCAACTGCTATCAGGTAATGTCTCTTCAGCTGCAGCTTATATCCACAGTTACTTGGTTGAGGAAGTTCAAAATCTCTGAGAATTTACAGTTCATTACTGGTTCCCTCTGTCATTGCAGATTTCAAGTTGTATATTTGTGAATACAGCCCATAAGGGTTTTAAACAGATACTTCCAAAAGGCCTTAACCTATATGAAATTATGTAATATTTGCTTTTGTCAACTTTATATAGATTTGGTGTCATAGCTGATATTATTAAAGACTCTGTGGGTGGTATTGTAAGATGCTTCAGTTGAATAGCTAAGAACACTAAGCTGACTTGAGCAATTGTGTCCATGGTACTTTTGGCACCTCCCAGCACTTCTAGATTGTGCAGGATCCGGGGATGGGATGGGGGTTGCCTTTGTTCAGGTTTCCAGAGTTCTCGTTCAAGAATTGATCTTTCAGATGTAAAAAGTATGGAAAATGCAGTATCCTTATGAAGGAGGGTGAATTCTTTGTCTTTTTTTATTGAAGGGTGTTTTCTAAATCTGATGTAACTTTGAATGTTTTTCCTTATTACTGATCATTTTTACTAGGGAGAAAAATACAAATAGTTCCCAGAGAAATTGGCAGTTGTTGCAAGTGATGAGTTATAAAGAGAAGAATTTAAGAGGCTGTCAGACATTGAAGAGTACAAAGAGGCGAGGTGATAAAAAGATAATATTAGTGGTTATAAGAGAAATTTTTGTTTATTGCAAACAGTGAATTCCAAATGTTAAGCTACCAAATTTGGTAATATTTAAAGGCATGTACATAATTTATTTCAGTGAAGTCCTGTCGTTAGCTCAGTACATAGCCATCTTCATAAGGGTTATATGGTCCACTGTTCACAGCCAAGCTTTGAATTTGGCCTTCATTATTAAAGTTTGGCAGGCCTATCATCCTAGTAGGTGACATTCTCCATGAGTCCTTTGTCCTTTTTATTGAGGTAAAGGGGAGTGGTAGTGTGGCTGCAATAGTTGTTAGTAAGGAGCTTCTCAGGTTCTATTTCTGGTGAATTTACTGTCTGGAAATACGAAGACAGCATCTTTGATAAAGAACTCCAGCCCAAGGTAGTGAAGAATTTTAACTGCAAAAGAAACTGCAAATCTGGACATAGGTAGAGTAAGAAAGAGAAAAAATTGTGAAGACAGTCAGATGGAGAAATCATGCAAATAAACATGAAATGTAACACCTGTGGGGGGGGATCTTGGTATGCATTTTTCATTAAGTATTTTGTGAAGTTACAAATGTATATAGCATACTGTTCTGTAGGGGTTTTTATAGCTAAGCTCCCTAGAAATGCTGTGCACTATAAAATGTGAGGAAATCCTAACCTGCTCTTTGTTTGCTTGTTTTCCTAGTTTTTCTCTTGTGTGCCTTACCATGCAAGAAAAAAACCCCTCCTGTTTTTACTTCTATTGCATTGCTTTAACTATACGGTTCTACATCTTAGTTTATATGGATTATATAAGGAAAACAGGATAACAATGAGGAAGAAAAAGTAGGAAGAATAATAATTTATGTTGCTTATACCTATATGCGTGTATTTTGTGAGTAAGTATGTGCATAGATAGGTTTTGACTGGAAATCTTTGGCCATTCTGTTGAATTGAATGTCTTAGTAATCTGTAGGAGTATAATTTGGGATATTTAATACTGAGAAGCACATAGTTATTATTTTAGGGGGGGGAATCACTGATATCAACACTTCAATATATTTGTGCTAATTAGTTTTTAGTGTATCTATGTGTCTTAGAAAAAAAATCTCAGAGGGGAGGAGGGTAGCTTTGCAAATACAGTAAAACACTGAGAACTCAGTAAGCTTATTGTTAGAACATAGACACTTATACAGTTTTAAAGATAATTTTTTTAAAAAGTTGTTTTATAAAATAGTTTCTTGCACTTTACCTGCTGGCTTTTCAATTTGGTAGATAACATCTGAACTCCAGCAGAGTTTTATAATCCCCACGTGCTTAAATATACTAAATGTTCTTTTTCCATTAAGGTTAATGTTCGTGAAGAAATTGAAGAGTTTTTTCCAAGAATGTGGAAGATAAATCAAGATAAAAGAAGGCTAATGAAAAGTATTAAAGATCAGAAAATTAAAATTGAATGGGGGAAAAAATTGAACAGAAGATTGGTCAGATAGAAGCACTTGAATATTTTTTTAAGGCTATAATGAATTGTTTGAATTGGGGAAGAATACACGAAGTATGAAAAATGAAAAACTCAATGAAGAATGAAGAAAAGTAGAAAGCAAGAGTGAAGTAGAATTAAAAGAATCTGGAAGAATGAATGGGTCCTAGGTTAAGTAAATGTATGGTTTATGTTCCAGTGTCTGTATGATCAAGTTGTAGATGAATTTGCATGATTACTTAGTTAATAGAGAATTGGTGATCTGGTTCAAGCAGGGACCTATTTGAGGCAAGCATACAATATTAACAGTGGGTTAGCAAAACGAAATTTGTTTTGGAGGGTATTGCCTAACCATTTGTTTTTCAGGAGCAATCAATATAATAGAATTACTGTACTGTAAATGTTAGGAGTTAGGCATTTACACAACCAATACCATTTTTAATACTGTCTTTTTTGTTAGGAGTCTCGCTCCCAGTCAAAATCTCCAGCTGGGAGTCCTGCTCGTGTAAAATCAGAGAGCAGGTCAGGATCTCGCAGTCCATCGAGGGCTTCCAAACATTCTGAATCGCACTCTAGGTCAAGATCAAAATCAAGGTATGTTCACAAAGTTATGCATGTCAGCTCAGCGTTACTGCTGTTATTTTAGTAGGTTGGTGAAGTTTCTTTTCCCCTGTTGTAGAAAATACGAACTCTTTGGGATGTATTAACAGGGATATGTTAATTTGCCTGTTTGTGCTCATACAAGTGGATAAAGTTGGAAATTGATTTCATGGGTACAAATAGAGAAAATACTATAATTATAAGTAATCATGTAGAAATCACAGCTGAAATATGTAGGTTTCTCTCTTCCAGAAGGTAGAGAATGGATTGCATTTCAATTTTGTGAAGCTGCTTCCTTCTCCTGAAATTGTTTATGGGGGAGTTCTTGTGTAGACCTCTCCTTTAGGGGGCAAAAAAAAAAGTTAAGTGACACCTGACACCTACTCTTTTTATTCTTACATAAAAAGAGTAAGCTGTCTAACTGTTGGAAATACTGGAAAACAGTGTTTGTGAATGTTCTTGACATTCTTTCATTGGAGGCTTTAAAAATATAATCAAAAACTTTGTCTTAATTTGTGTGTGAGAAGAGAAATGTCTTAGGCTTTTTTCTCTAAATATGCCATAAATATTACCTGGTTTATACTACCTGTCTTCTTTATTCCCTTTTAGCAACATATTGATAAAAATGGGGAGAGCTACTGAATCTTTCTTTAACGACCACGAGAGAAACCAGAAAACAGCATTTGTAGCACTAGAGGGGAAAGAGGAATAGTCTTACATTGTCTCTCCTTCCCAGTTCTTGGGAGAGATCAGTAATACATCTTCTCTATTTATACACTTTATGCCAGAGCAGCTGAAAGAGTTGCTGTGCTCTGAATTGCCAAAGTTCAACTAATGTTACAGTTTCTCTTCTTGCAGTGTTTAGCCAGGTGATTACCTACCTTATTATCAGCAAGACATTTGCAAAGAAGTGTTTGAGGATTAGAGCAGGTGTTTGGGGTTTGCTTATTTTTTGGTCTGGAATAATTTTCATGCCTAAACAAACTTTACTTGTAGATATTGCAGCACTGTAGTCCTGCCAGGTATTTCAATTTTTCAGTCAAAACGGTACTTTACAGTGTGGCATATCTAATTTTTGTGCCACTGCGCCGTTGTTAGTTAGATAAGCAGCCAAGCTGTTGTAAGTTTAAACTCTGAAATTCCTGAAAGCTGTTGTGAATATAATCCTCAGTGTATGCCAGAAATACTCTCAAAGAGTTAAAAATGGTGCTACTGAGCAGGTTATTAGAGATCCATGCAATCTTTAGGTGTGCAAGGTAGAAAAAGCTTAATGGGTTTAATATTGTAGACACCATCTAAAAAAAGATTTTTCTCTAGAAGATGTACTGTTTAGAGTTCAATAAATGATGGCCACATGCATTTGCCCTGACTGAAGGCTTTCTCTTTGTCGAAGATCCAGGTCCAGAAGACATTCGCACAGACGTTACACTCGTTCCAGATCCCATTCTCATTCCCATAGGAGACGCTCTCGAAGCAGATCATACACACCAGAATACCGTCGGCGCAGGAGCCGCAGTCATTCGCCGATGTCCAACAGGAGAAGGCACACTGGCAGCAGAGTATGTCATGTTCAAAAAGGCTGAGTATCGACAAAACAATTGCTGCTTGCATCAGTGTAGTCCACGTTACCTGCAGGCTGAGTTTGACCTGCTGGTTTGTCACTGGAGGATGCAGGGATTGGATGGGAGTGGGGGTAATGTGTGGAGCAATCTCTGTCCTTACAGCTGAGCGCTTACTTCTTGGGCCTGCAACTAACTGGCAGGGAAGTTGTAGAATTTAATTGAAAAACGTTCTATTGCAAGTCAGTATGTGCAGGCATGGTGACATTTGGCTTCAGTCAGCTCTAGAAGTTGAGCTGTTCTGATTCTTTTCTTTGGTTGTTAAAAAAGTATATAACCTTTACAAAAATGAGACCGTATCTGTGTATGCTGGCGACCTGAAAGTATTGATAAGATTGACATAGGGATCCATAGAAGGAAATTCCCAAGTGTTTATTTGCTTATAGAGCATATGTTAAAGATTGCCTGTGATTTTAGGCTTCTGATTGTTTCATTTGATTTACCTTGAAGTAATGCCTTGTGTTATTAGGTAATAAGTAAATCTTTATAGTAGACTAGAAAAATTTACATTTGTGGAAAGGAGGCGCAGTAAGTCTTTCAAAATATAGATGAGACGTGTTTCTGTATGAGCAGGAGGAAGTATAGCTACACCAACCAAAATCTAAAATACTAATCCTGTCATTCTGAGATTTCTCCTTGTGTCATTCTTTGTAACAGCAGAATGGTTGGGGTTGAAAATTGGAAAGCAATTTTGCCACTTCTTTTCTTGTAGAGAGAGCTTGCATACTGGGTTGATGGGAGGCGGTACAAAAACCTAATACAGAAGTTGCCCTTTAGTCCTCCACAATCAGTTTAGGTCTTCCAGTGGTGATGTAGTTGTCACTTGGCACTTAGGGTCTGCAGACTGATCTCAGTATTCTCTTGCCTTGGAAAAATTCATGGGGTTTAAGTGTGAGAGGGGTGTTAAAAACATGCAAGAGGTATGGATGTGGGGAGGAATTTACCTGAACAATTAATTAAATGACAGATTTCATTATACTTACAGGATTTTAGTAATAAAATTAGTATAGTTGCCAGTGCCATTGAAATATGGAGTAAAAAATACATATCTTGATGTGCATAATTTAAACTTTTGAGTTACAAACTGCCAGGTCTTGGTGCTCTTTAGCTATAGTGTGGAATTGCAGAATATTCACATCTTAAAACAGAAGTTTGAACTTTGACAAATGGAAAGAAAGGAACTTCACATATATGAATAGTGCAGGCATCTTATTTTCACAATAGGTTCCTGAGCAAATGTGCTGAAAAAAATATGACAGAAGATCTAAACCTTTTCAGTCTTTGAATCAGGCTGAAAAGCAGGCACTGAGGCATAAATTATAATTCATAGATGACTTACTGAAATACAACTTTCAGTTGTGTCAGCTTCCAGTTGTTATTTTGGCAGAAACAATAAATCTCTGTGCTTGTTGCTGGTGTTTTAAATTGCTGCATCTAGTAGTACAGGTGCCAGACACCTAACTGAAAAACTGAAAAAGATTTTGATCAAAATAATCTTACAGAGGATTTGGCGTTAGATACAAATTCTCTGGCATGTAAAGAAATTTTGAACCTAAGAGAGAACTTGTACCTTGTACTAGTACATATTTGACTTTGTCTAGATGAAGTGAAATTTTTTAAGTATCCCACATCATGATAGCGAGTGAAGAGTTTTGTGCTAAAGAAATATGCATGCTTTTGGATTACAGTTTCACAGAACTGGCCTTCAACACTTGTTGCTCTGTAGATGAAAGAATCAGGTGCCTTTCATCCAGTTTACAAGTGGAAAGATTAACTTACAAGTGTAAATATTGACTTTCAGTATATTGGGTAGGAAATGCTGAGGTGGAGGAAGTTTCAGTAGAAGCTAGATTATAGTTCAGTTGCCTGTGCTTAGGAGCTCAAGTGCTCACATGTATTGTGGGCAGCTGGAGGCAGCGTGCACTCCTAGTGCCTGTGATGACCATGCAAAAGGGCTGAAGGTGGGAGTTCAGGCTGGCCGACCTGTCTGCAGCACAGATTTGTGTGTGGTGTCTGCCCCTTGGTAGTTTAAATATTAAATACTAATAACATGGATTCGTCTTGTTCTGTAGCTTTTCTGTATATCAGAATGATAAATTTTATTAACTGTTTTTTACCAACATGAGAAACTTGTCTTGGTCTTTTTTCTAAAATTAAAACCATTGAAAGTAGTTGCTTTTTGAAACCATCTTACAATTAGAATGATAGCTGTTGATGTGTTAAACTGTGTATTACCTGTTTAGTTTTCTTCAGATTAAATTTTTTATAATTGATAATTTTTGATATAAGAATATTCAAATTTTAATAATTTTTTAGAAACAAAAACTAATTGGAGTTGAACATTTGTGTTACCAGGCTAATCCAGATCCTAATACCTGTCTTGGAGTGTTTGGTCTCAGTTTGTACACTACTGAGAGAGATTTACGTGAAGTCTTCTCCCGTTACGGACCTCTGACTGGTGTCAATGTGGTTTATGATCAGCGGACTGGACGATCAAGAGGATTTGCTTTCGTTTATTTTGAAAGAATTGATGACTCTAAAGAGGTAAATGCATGCTTTGCTACTTTTTTCAGGTGTGCTCTTTATGCATTATCTTCATTAACTGTCTGTATAAAAAGACAACAAGTTCTTGAGTGTGTATTCACTAGCAGATTCTCACACTGAGATTAATTTTAAATGCTTTGTTCAAGCAATGTGGCAGTTCTAAACAAATGAAGCATTTGAGTTCAGGTGCATGGGCAGATATTGAGCATAAGCTGTCTGTATTAAATCACCAATGAGCTCTGGACTTTGATTTTAGTCTGTTACTTCAAAATGCAAATAAATCTTTAACGCTTCTAGATCTAAAGTATTTTTGAGACATTTTGGAAGTTAAAGTTTTAAGTTGTTTTCTAAATGAAAATTCTGGTGATTCCTTGTGTATTTTCTCCTTTTAGGCATTTGAAAAACAGTGGGGTTTGTCTTGATTTGTACCAAGCTTGGTCAATTGCTTTCCTTGTTGTTTAACAGATAGCTGTTAATAGCTAGACTGAGTTGTTAGTATAATAGATCTGTAAGGAAAGAATTAAAGAATATGAACAGCAGCCTGTGTTATGATCCACCACAATTTACATTAAGTTTTTTTTACCCTTATAATGATACCATGAAGTTTACCACGTTTACTGAAATTCGTAGATAAAGTTGCTATTAAAAGTAAAGACACCCTCTAAAAACTACTTTAAGTCTGTGTTGTGTGCATCTCTTTCTTTGGGACAGACTTCATCTTGTTTATGGATTAATAGGTTTGGGCAGATGTGCTGTTTGATTCTGTGTGCATTTGCCAGGTTTTATTTATAAGGAGATACTAAATACGACTCCTCTCTTTATAGATCATTTAGTATTGAAGGCAGGGAGGATGACTGCTCTGGAACCTATCAGAAGCTGAAAAATAAGAATGCTGCTGCTACTTGATGATATTTAAATGAAAAAAAAACTTGTATTTGGATTACTTGATTGAACTAAGTTCTTGTGTTTGACTTCTGGTATGATCCAGAATCAGTTTATGGGAAGAGTAGTCTTGTAGATTTATATATGTGTGCTTGTTGCAAGTTATAGAGGTAAGTAAAAGGACACAAAACTTCCTTTAGTGTCCCTTCTATATTCTCCTGCAGTCTCAATTGGAGAGGTTGGTAGAGAGATAAATGGGATGGATAGCTGTATATCCATCTGTCTTTAATGGCCTGCTCTGTTCTAACTTCTAGACTTGTATTTCTTTGCACACTGAATTTTGTTGGGATTTTGAAAAAGTGTCTGTTTTGTAAAACATCTTGCATCTGAAATATTTGTACAGTATTCCTTGGCACATCCATGTACCAGTCTTGTCTGCTGGTACACCTTTTTTCTCTTTCTTTTTTTTTTTTTTTAAAGCTTCATATGTCCTTAGAGGTAGGTTTTTTTCCCTGGCTGCCACGGGCAATGGTCATGCGTGATACCATGCGTTTCTTAAAATGTTCCGTGTAGATAGCATGAAGTCATTTGTTTAGCACAAAGCTGTTTTGGCAGATGCTATGAAGCTGGAATGCAAAGGAAAACAAAAAGAGATGTTACTTCCATTCAGTAATACAGAAGTAAAGATTAGAGCCTTAAGCAGGTACCAAAATAATTTGGAATGTAATTAAACCCATTTTTCTTTTCTCCAGTGGGTTGGTGCCTGAAAAGGGGGAAAGGATGCAAACTCTCCCAACACCTGGAATTTAAATAACTGAAATATTTTGGCAAGAAGGACAGAAGCAAAACTTGTTTATTTGACTTAGTTCATGAGCCTTGAGGACAGATTTGAAGATGGCAATAAGTGGCAGCTGGTGTAGAAAAAGGGGAGATATATAAATGTAGGTACATACAGACATATAGCTAGATAGCTGTAGGTGTGAAATTTTGCAGCAGGCCCTGTAGAAGAACACTGAAAGAAATGTAGCATTCTGTGTTTGGAAGATATGCATACTCAACTTTCCAGACTAAAAGCAATGACACTTGAATTACTTCTGTTCTGAATAACTAACTCCTCTTAAAAATAATAATAATTTTAAAAACTCCAACCAACCAAAAACCATAACCAGAATCCCAAACCTTCAACATCCAAAACATCTAAATAGAGATTATATATTGAACTAAATTACAACCCCATATAAAGATAGATGGATTAAATGAGAGTAGAACTCTAGGGAAGAAGTTGGATTTTTCATAGTCTCTACTATTGCCCTTCGGGAAGGCTAGCATAGGGAAGCTTCTCAGCAGACCTGCTCTGAAATATAGGTAATACTAAAATTTTACATCAAATTAATTGTGAGTAGTTATGTTTAAGCTTTCACAACTTAATTACTGTCAGTTGTGCATGGATTCTCGTGCAGCTAAAAATCCCTCAGGATCTTTGTCATCCTACCACGTTTACAAACTGGATCAGTTATTGAACTAGTTAGTGTTGCTGTGAGTCGTGATTCTGAAACCAAGTTGTGCAGTGGCCATATGGTGGTAAAGACATTTTAAGTTGTCAACTAGATCGATGTTTTGGAACTCCAAAGACAATGTAAAATAGCATTTCTTAAAGGTGATACTTCTCAGTGTCCTAAAAATACAGAAGGGACAGTTTTAAAGTGTATTTTTACCTAAACAGTTTTAAAATTTCAGAATTTCAGATTATCACGCCATAACAGCCTTGTTGTTAGCTGTTCATGAGCATCTTGGTTATAAAGAGGAACAGTAGCTTAGCTTTTGATAACTACTACACAGAGAAGCTGCCAAAGCATCACAGTAGCTTCAGACATTCCACTACAACAGGACTGAGAAAGAAGTTTTCAAAGCATGTGTCCAGTCCAGGAGATTTCTTGTAGAATATGTTCTATTCTGTTTGAAACTCTGCCAAGGTTAAGATGAAACTTCATGATCAGACAGAAGGTTCCTTTTCCATCAGATGTCTTTTATTGCAGTGGTATAGTGTTTGCAAAATAACACTCAACTGGATTTAGGTTTTGATCCATATTGAAGGTGCTCGTGGACACTGTCTTTAGTTCAAAGTGTGATAGCAGACAGTAAATGTCAAGGACTGATGGATGTCTAGGAAACAACTGATGAATGTCTAATGATTTTATGGGAACCTGAGGATTTGCTGTGCCAATGTTCTTGTCTGTCAGCTTGTTCAAAGCCTGTTTGAAAAGCTGTCATTATGTGCCTGTTTTTAGAATGGGTATATAGTGGGTTTAATTTATTGTAAAGTTATTTTATTTCAAGAAGTTTTTGTTTTTTAAAAAATATTTGGTATTACTTTTTTGCCTTAGGTGGTGCAGCGTCTTGTCTTGGCCACCCTTTTCCAAGTCCTCAGAATGTGCAAGTCCTTTGTATGTGCAACATGCAAAGGGCAATATCTGTAAACATCTGTTCAAGACTTGTTTCTCACACTCTCTTACATAGTCTTCAGTATTGGCAACATTGGCATGCAGCCAGTGTTGTAATATTGTTTTGCAATGTTTTCACTAAATTATAGAGGATATTTATCTGCCCATCACATAAGGACTTTTCTCCTGTGTTTAAGAGGATTACTAACTTCTGTGTACTAGGATGAGAAAAAAATTAGGTTGATGGAGGAGGAATTGTGTCAGGGTCTTAACAGTAAGTTGAGAAAATCATGAGTGAAAAGTGCTGGCTGTTCTAGGGACGTGGTTCTTACTACAGTTACCAGGGATGTCATATGCTGCTAAACCAGCTTTTCAGTAGCTCAGACTGTGAAGTGTTAGTTGTTTAAACTGAGGCTACTATGAATGTACTGTCTGTAGGAGGAACTCATCTAAGAAGCATCAGCTACAGCAGCTGTTGGCAATATGGAATTTTCTAATGCTAGTTAGATGTTCTTCAAAAAGTTCTGAGCATCTTTCCAGAACCATTTTCTGAAGTGCTGTTCATTAACAATCGACACAAATCAGTAACATCATTCAGTTGCCAAAAACCAGAATAATAATGGAGTTTATCAGTTCAACTTGAAAAACATAAAATGTGTGATGCAAGCAGACTAGCTTAGAACCAATGTTATTGAGCAAAACTCCCATGGCTTGTTGAAGAAATGGTTTAAGTATTGTTCGTGGTATCAAAAACAACCCTTCATATACCAGAAAAGAGCACTAGAAGGTCTCAGATGTTTGGAATTACAAGTTATAGACTTCTGGAGACTCTGAAATACCATGAAGTTGCTAATACTTGAAGCTCTAAAGTATGCTTTAAAGATAATACATTGAATCCATCAATGCTGAAGCTCATAATTGTATATGTTTAAAAGTTATCATTGAAATCTCAAACTAGAGAATGTAAATTGAATGTTGTTTGAAAGTGAAATGGACACTTGGATTGAACTTGGCAGACTGCAGCAAGTGTAAAAAGATAAGTTTCTTTGTTAATTCCATCAGGTTTTTTTTCCAGAATTTTTTTCAGTTGTTCTCAGTAAATCCAGAACTGAATGAGTAATCAATTACTGGAGGGGGGAATCTAATCCATTGTGTCTTTCATCCCTTGCTGTACCTGTGATGGAGTGGAGATGATTTTTTTTCAGTGTCATTAAATGCAGTAGACAAGAACTTTGAGTAAAAAACAGACAAAGAAACCCCCAAAATGACAACAATGTAAAGAAAAGGCAGTACCTTGTGTAGTTATTTTTAAGTTGTGAGAACGTATTTTCAAAGTAAGTCACAATATAAACTGCTTGTGTTTGACTATTTAAGCATATTCAGTCTGTATGTTGTTAACTTTTTAGTGATTGAAAGTTATTGAAATAGTTATCCAGACTGGAAGTCTTTAATTTTTTTTTAGTGAATTCTTGATTAACTAATACCAGCCACCCATGTAAGTTTGCGCATTTAATTAGAAGTTGTGTTTCCAAACTTGTTTTACTCTATCTACCTAATTGGTCATACATGTAGAAAACATTATATATTGCATTAAATATCAAATGACTTTGAAATCTTTCTTAAATTTATTGCTTTCTGACTTTTTTGAGCCAGTGGAGATGATACTGTAGTTCTGGAACTGCTCATTTGGTCAAACTAACACCTTATAGATAATCAGTTTTCTTATTATGGATAGTCTGCTGAAGGTTTAAAATTCCGAAACTTTAAAAATGTGATCCAAGATTGAACCTATGCCATTCCCAGTCCTAGTTCTATGTTCTGACTGCAGACATATAGGTGTATATTCTAGCCTACAAAAATCAAGTTTTTAATAGAATTTGCTACTAGAATTTTTATTATATGTTTATAGGAATGCTGTGTTCTTGCTTACTGTCCTCTTGCAAAAGGCATGCAAGTCTTTTAATGACATTCAGATATTTGGAAAATAATCTAGGTTGTAATAAAAATAGATTGTTGACTGTTTAAAGACTCCTAAGAGGGTATTGTGTGTCTTAAAAACCAATATTATTTGATTTTTTTATTTTTAAAGTTTCATTTCATCATCTTAACCAGTATTTGAGAATTTATTAAACAGCATTTGAGAATCTGGCATTTTTAGAGAGAATATGCAATTTTTTCTCTTTGACACTGAAATATTCTCAAGACGCAGTCATGCACACCCAAAACCATAGAGAAAAGGAAAGTGAAATCTGTTTTGAATATGACTGGCAGTAAGAAAATTTTGTGAAACCCAAAACTTTTTTGTACACTACTTTAACTTTCAATAAAGCACGGAAGTGGCAGTGATTAGGCTCACTTAGATATTTTTACAGCCTTCATACAAAATAAATACTGTTGTATCAGTTACATGAACACAGTTTTTCAGAGAGGGCTTTTTGTTCATCCTCCAGCAGTCCTTGCCTAATAATGTCAGTGTAAGTACTTCACTTCAGAGACCTGAGGTGTGCAGTTAAGGGTGGTGCAGAGAATCTTCTCTTTAGAAGCAATTTCCAGTTGCTAATTACTGAATATGAGTGATCCATACTATTAATTGTAGGTTTTGGCTTTCCTGTTTGAGGATGCAGTCAGCACTATAAGAGGCTTTATTGTTTTTGTCTATCTATTAAAGATTTTCTCTATTTAAAAAAATTTTAATTGGCAATTATTGCTGAGAACTGTAAAAGGAAAACGTTTTAATATTTGGTAGGACATTAGAAATTATGGCCAGGGTGTTGGGAGTTCTGTGCAGTCTGGTAACCATGATCTTTATACACTGAAATGTAACACATTTCCTGGTATTTCTAAAACAAACAGCCAGCTCTCAAAATTAATTCTTCATTTCTCTTGCTGGTATGTTGGTCTTCTTTATACTGCTCCCTCTGTCAAAGAATTCTTCCTCTGGAAGAGGTGTTTGTTGGCTTAACTAAATAAGACAAATATGCCAGATGTTCTGGATTTGAGGTGGCTTCTTGTCAGCTAAGCTTATTATTCTGGAAGTTGTTAACTGGGCTTGAAAATGCCATGCTGCAGAAAATTTCTTACAATTTAACTTGCTGCATTTCCAGAAAGATGTGTTTCATCACGAAGGTAATTTTTCAGCCAGATATTTGCAGCCTTCATTGTTAGGCTTGTGCACACATACTTTCCTAGGATGCATGCACAGATTTATTTTCATTTATATCATCCTTGTGGGGGAAAAAAAAAAAAAGGTGTTAAGGCTAGAAGACTAAAGCTGAGAAATGTGTTTTAGTCACAAAATATACCTGAGTGTATATTGAAAGACTTGAAATGCTCTTTGCTGTGCCTTGCAGTTGGCTAAATGTAGTTAGTTTTGTACAGGAACACAAATCACTAGGTGGCGATATAGTATGGACACAAACAGCATTACTAAAATACAAACTCTCTCTCAATAAATACATCACTGATCATCAGTCGCCTCCAGTTTGGACACAGCAGTTAAACCATATGGATATCAGATTTCTGTATCTCCTTTACAATTTGTATGTAAGTTCAGTGAGGCTCTTGTTAGAGTTGAGATTTTTGAATAAATATTTCATTATTAAAAAGAAGAAAAAAAGTTCTCTGTTTAGAGCCACCTTCATGTTTTGAGGTTGTGTCTTGTTTTTTGTAGATAAAAAAAATAGCAAAGTGGTTATGTTCTTTAACTCAAGATTGTAACAGTGTCTCTTCTCCAGACGTGAAAAATTAAAATAATGTGTATTGGACTAAGTGCTATGCTTAGTGTTGAGAAGTAAGTGGTGTGTATTGGTATTTCAGGAATTCTATAGCAGATAACAAAAGCTATTAAAATTCAAAAAGCAAATTTTAAAAAAATCCTTTCAAGTCCATCATTAGCTTTTAAAATTAATTGTTGTGGATTTGTTGGGGTTTTGGTTTTTAGGTTATTTTTGCATGGATATAAGTCTCAAAAGTTCACTGTGCTCCTTTGAATAACTTACTTTGATGGTTTGAGTTTGTGAAAGGCCATTGTATTGATTCTCAGAGTGGAGGAGCTGGGGCTGGAACACCCAGCGAGTGCGTGCAGGGGCTGCGGGCAGTTCTGAAGGCACGGGCGTCTGAGCGCAGAGCCTTGTGTGTATCACTTAAGCGAGCTGCTATTGTGAGAGGGAGTGGGGAGGAAGGTTGTAATTAGGTATCCATGTAGGCTGAACCCGCCATTTTACTAAGCTCTGCTGAAGTAGGTCCTTGTAAGGGAGATGGCAGGAGGCTGGGAGAGCATGAAATGGCAGCCGACGAGCAGTAATCCGGCCATATGCACCCTACAGGAAGCCACTGTTTTGCACAGCTTTTGAATCCGCCCGTCCCCTCTGGGGCAGAGACGGCGGTAGGAAAGATGCAGCTTTCAGAAAAAAGCTGGTTTGACTTTCAGTTTGCCTTTCACATGGGTAGAAGATAAAGTCTAGGGAGAGTGACTGTGTTAGTGGTTAGCCTGTGCTCCCTTAAGAAGGATTGAGAGTCGCATTAGTTCGGCCCCCCAGTGTAGTCCTGTAACACCACCAGCACACAGGCATGGGGACAAGAGATGAGCCAGTCGCCACAGTGGGGCACTAGTAACCAGTCTAAACAAGACAAGTTCCGGGCTTGTTTTTCTGGTGGAAAATAATGTGTTTGTACATAGCCTTCCATAGTAGGTTGCAGATGTCACATCCCTGTTCTTGTCTCTCCTGCAGGCAATGGAGCATGCAAATGGAATGGAGCTGGATGGCAGGAGGATTCGAGTGGATTATTCAATCACCAAAAGAGCACATACACCCACCCCAGGCATCTACATGGGCAGGCCAACACAGTGAGTTCAGTGGATTTAAACTGAAGGCTAGATTCTGGTTGAAGAAATTACTAACATGCACTCTCAAATCCTACTGTTGTTTATTGTATCTTGATTTGTAGAAATATTGAAGGATCTGTTAATAAAAAATAATATCCAGCATGATCAATTAATGTATCCTTAGCCTGCTGAAATTCTAAAGTGCCCATTTGCCTTTGATTTTGATGGGAATTAGCATCAAATCCTTCGTTTTTCTGGGAGATTTGGAACGTGTTTTTATTTAACTACTTTGTCTGTATATTTTTGTGATACAGTCTTAAGTGTCTGATTTACTACAAGACCACTTAAAAAATATTTTAAATAATTTATATTTATCTCTCTAATAATTTAACTCAAGATGAAGACTAGATATATGAAGGGGGTTTTGTTTTTGTTTTTTCTTTTCCCCTAATAGCAGTGGAGGAGGTGGTGGCGGTGGAGCGGGTCGTCGCCGGGACTCATACTATGATAGGGGGTATGACAGAGGGTACGACAGATATGAAGAATATGACTACAGATACAGGTACCTTATCTTTATTTCATTTCTGTAACAGTGGATTTGTTGGAAAGTTAGATGACAAAACATACTCAGTTTGTAGCAATATTCTGCATACATGTCTGTTATGTGTTAGAGCCTCATTCCCTTAGGTTTTATGGGACTGAAGTAGTCAGAATCTTCAGTGTTTATGTAATTTGGTTTTACTGTTGGGTGAGGGGTTAATTTTGCTGTGCTAAGGAGGTGTAGAGCATGTATCCCAGGAATTGAGTGGACAGATAAAAAGGGAACTGATTTTTCTATGCTGTATATAGAACCAGGGACAGCTGATACACACTGCTGTTTAAAAAGGGATTATTTGTAGATGGGATTTTTAATGCTTGACATTTCATAACCATCTTGCTGTTTTGAAAGTTATCTGGTTTCAGAGAATGTTGTTCAACAAGAATTGTAGGCATCTGGAAAAGCACTTTATGTGTTTGTAATGCTAGCGAGAGTTTATTAAATTCTTTGTCTGGGAATATCCTAGAGTTTAAACACATCAAATAGAGAAATATAAAAGCATTTGTTAAATAACCATAAGTCACAGCCAAATAAAGCAGAAATCATTCATGCAGGCCAAGTCTTTCAGTGCTAAGGAAGTGGTTCTGTTCTGTAGAAGTGATGTGAATAAGGCTCCTTTCATAATGGATGTTGTTTGGTTTCTTTTTTAATTTCCTTTAAAGGAGACGATCACCATCGCCTTATTATAGTCGATACCGATCGCGATCAAGATCCCGTTCCTATAGTCCAAGTAAGTAAATACAAGTGAATAAACAAGATCTGGATGTTTTTTGTTATATGAATTGATCAATGGGAATTCTGAATGTGAAAGCAAAAAAAGCTGGGCACAGTTAAGTTGAGATAATGTGTACAGTTAGTTTATGATTGTGTAATTAGTAATTGTGTCATCTTTTGTTTTTTCCAGGGCGCTACTGAAGATCAGAAGAGTTACAGTTGAGGACTTGATTTTTAATACAAAGTTCAGATCTTTAGCTTCCCTACTGCTTTCCCTTCCATCTTCCCTTTCTTGTCCTCCTTCCAGCTCTTTCACAAGTCTTTGGTTCATTTAGAATATACATATTTTCAGTTGAAGTATTCCTATTTTCCACCCCTTCTTATTGTAATACTCTTAAATATTGTAATTGTTGTAGTTTTTGTGTAGTAAAACATCTTGAGCAAAAAGATAGAAAACCCCAAAGTGCTGATACATTTTGGAAGTCATTCCTATTTTATTTCTAAAACAGTTGGACTCCTGACTAATCAGAAGAGAGCATTGATATTTTTAAAGCTTGCATGTCATATGTAGTATACACACTCGGATACTTTAACATAAACCTGCATTTCCAAGTAACTTGTTAATCTTTCTGTTAAAATGTTTACCTATTACTTTGATAAACAAGTAATGACTTTTGAGTCTTTTCTGTAATGATAAATTTGCTTAGATAGTCATGAACCAGAGGATTTTTAATTTTTTTTTTTGTCAAGTAGTTGCTTTGAAAGTAGACTATTTGAGCTAGATCAGAGTTTGGTATTTGACTGACTGGGAGAATAGATCCTTGTACACTCAAAATTAAGGCTGTGTGTTTTATAGAAAAAAGTTTCTGGATTGCTACACAGTGGATAACAGTTGAAATTAAAATTGTTAAATTCCTGGGGTCTTTGTGGTACTTCATTGAATATTTCCTTTTAATTGGTGCAAGAGAAAAATATTTATTGAACATAGCAATTAGTTATATAATTTGCTGTTCATGAAAGAAAAAATGGCCAACTTTTTGGTATTGAAATAATGATGGAGCAAGTTTTGTTTCCAGTCCTTTTTGAACCTTTGGAAGTATGGATGGAAAAACCTACAGCTATGTGTAAACCTTTTTTTTCCCCCCAATAAAAGTTAAGTCCACTGATAATGTGGTTTCTTGTCTTTCATTCTGTGTCTTGTGTCACTTTGGAAGGTAGATTAAACAGTACTTGATACTGGGGTGTAGTTGATAAAGTCAGCTTTTACCTGTCTTTTCAGGAGCCTTGTCTTCCCTGAGAATCAGTATGTGGTTATTTGGGATGGCTAACCTGGGTGGGTAGTCCAGCTTTCTCTTGTGCCATCCTTGTCACTTGCTGGAGTTGTGGTGAGATGGTGGAATAAAAGAAACCCTGTTGACTTTGTTTAGTTTTCTGGCAAGTGGCTGGTTGAATGTTGATATTGCCACAGCAAAAGGAATACAACCACAAAGCCCTTGCAGCAAATTTTCATCCTGAATGTCAGGGAAGGCCACCAAAAGAGTTTATCATGATTCTAAGAGGGTAAGTGTACGAAATGTAATTGCATTAGCTGTTTCTGTGTTGGTGCCAGGAACTATTAACAAGTAGTTAAAAGAAACACCAGCACACATCTTTAAAGCTTGTTAGAATATGCCAGAAAAATTGGTGACAAAACAAGTTCTAACTGGTTATTGCTCAATACCTTTGAATCCATGATGTCTTACCATAAATTTCAGTTGGAAATTCTTAGTAAATTGAAAGCAGAGTAGCTGAAACACTGAAGCCAAATCTTTCAACTCTGATGAATTTACCTGTATTAATTGGTGATCCAGGCAAATTAGGAAATGTTAAGAAAATTTTTCTTTGTAAACCAAAGTCCCAACATCTCAAGAACTATTGGTATATTTAATTTTGGTTTTGTTCTTCCAAAACATGGAAAGCAGTGTGCAGAAACAGTGAGTTGGCCAGTGTGACACCCAGGCACAAGGACTGCAAGGAGGATCCAGGGAGCTTACAGGCCTATTGGTCTGACCTTGGTGCCCGGGATGGTTGTGGAGCAGCTATCTTGAGTGCCATCACACATACAGGACAACTGAGGGATCAGGCCCTGCAGGCATGGGTTTAGGAAAGGCAAGTCCCACCTGACTAACCTGATCTCATCCCATGACCCAGTGACCCGCTGAGTGGGAGAGGGAAAGCCTGTGGATCTTGTCTACCTGGACTGCAGAAAGGCCTTTGATAGATACTGTCTCCCATGGCATATGGCATTCTCCTGGAAAAGCTGGTAGTCCTATGGTTTGGACTGGTGCACTCTTCACTGAATAAAAAAACAGTCTGGGTATCTGGCCCCAGAGGGTGGAGGGGAATGGTGCCACATCCAGCTATTGGCCAGTCTCAAGAGGTTCTCCAGGGCCACTCCTTTCCATATCTTCATCAGTGATTTGGATGATGGCAAAATCGGTGGGAGCACTGATCTGCAGGAGGAGGGTAGGAAGGTTCTGCAGGGGGATCTGGACAGGCTGGATCAATGGGCTGAGGTTCAGTAAGCTTAAGTGTCAAGTCCTGCAGTTGGGTCACAGCAGCCCCAGACAGTGCTACAGGCTGGGGGCAGAGTGGCTGGAAAGCTGCCTGGCAGAAAAGGACCTGAGGATGCTGGTCCACAAGCTGGCTGAGAGTGAGCCGGGAGTGAGCCCAGGTGGCCAAGAAGGCCAGCAGCAGCCTGGCTTGGATCAAGGACAGTGTGGCCAGCAAGATTCACCAGTGATTGATCTGCTCTACTCAGCACTGGAGAGCCACACCTCGAATCTTGTGTCCAGTTTTGGGCTTGTGACTTCAAGAAAGACATTGAGGTGCTGGAGTGTGTTCAGAGAAGGGCAACAGAGCAGGGGAGGGGTCTGGAGCACAAATCCTGTGTGGAGTGTCAGAGGGAGCTGAGGGGGTTTAGCCTGGAGAAAAGAAGGCTCAGGGATGACTGCATCACTCTAAAGTGCCTGAATGAGGCTGTAGAGAACTGGGGGTTGGTCTCCTGTTCCAGGCTATAAGTGATACATCAAGAGGACCATGGCCTCAAGCTGTGCCTCTGGAGATTCAGGTCAGGCATTCTGATCTCTTGACAGAAAGGGTTATACGTTGGAATGGATTCCCTGCCCAGAGAGGTGATGGAGTCACCATCCCTGAAGGTGTTGTGTTCCAATGTAGCACTCAGTGCCAAGGTGGTGATTGGTCAAAGGTTGGACTTGATCTCAGAGGTCTTTTCCAGTCTGGATCATTCTGTGTGGATTATGGAAAGCAGTGTGCAGAAGCAGTGAGGAAGCCCGATGCAAAAGCATGGGCAGTAGCTGCAGTGTGGGTTGAGGGAGACATTTGGGCTCAGGGAATTAGGATAACAGGAAGTGAGAGTGAGAGGCGACTACTTTCTGCAGTGTATGGCATTTGTGGCCTGTAATTGTCCAGGCCTGAGAAGTTTTGCCAGCCAGGGAGCAGCTCAGCACATATGTTGCCTGGATGCTCAAGGAGGGTTGCAATACTGAGCTTGGAGATTGTTGCTTCCAACAGATAGATCTGTCGACTTAACATCCTACTTAGCACAAGTCCATATAAAGTTATCAGTGGGAGCAGCATTGTATTACATGGTTCATTTTGTGCTTCATGTTCAGTGATGTAAGGCAGTCCACTTGAAGAACAGGTGAAAGTGGTAATTCCTGCTGTCCTGGACATACTTGTAGATGTCTAAAATGTATGAATAATTGCTGGACTTAATTGGCCATCTCTAAAACTGGCAGTCCTGAAAAGGAAAGGGTCATTTGCAGCTGTTTCCTCATTTGTGGGTGAGGCTTTTTTGGTTGGTTGGTTTGTTGGTTGGTTGGGGTTTTTTAACTGAGATCACTTGGGCAGAGATCTCTGGGTTAGCAGGCGTTTTTTTTAACTTTTGTGGCTTGCACTCTCCCCAGGAATGGGAGTCTCAACTCTGCTTTGTTGTGAATGGATTTAGGAACACTGTTTCTTTACGCTCCAGGTTCTGTGTATGAAATTAATTAGCCAAAGTAATTTTAACTGTTTCTGCAAACACAGCTACTGAAACATACACAGTTTTCTCTAGACATTTTTGTACTTCTAGGTGAATTGTTCGTGTAGTCAGAACTCTGAACAATTACTACACTTTTACAACAGAGTGACAAGAAGTCAACCTAAGTAAAAAAACTTGATGTTACAGTGTGCTCGGACACAAGAAGCTGAAGTTCAGAATGAGCTGCAGGGAATATTTAAATACTGACTTTAGAAAAACCTGACGTTTATCTAGGTTTATGTATAGCTTCAATTCTAGGCGTAGTCTAGAGAATGCAAGATAACACTTGCTCTTAAATATGTCCTGTTCCCAAATGCTTCCAGGAAGTGGCCACAAGAAGTTCACAACAGCTGCTACCCAGGCTAGTCCGAGGCTGTGCATGTAATGGAAAATTTGCACCCGATGGCAACAGTTAGGAGACATACTGGTTTACATGTGGAGACAGAATACCTTCCAAGAGGGGGTGTGTGCATAAAGACAATGCACATGAGAGGAAGTTTATTAAGACTGTTGTTTAGCCATTTGTCCTGTGTAACTATACTTCAAATCTGTAATGACATCAAGACATGGTATTGCAGTACTCAGCAAAGCATTTGACTGTGGTGCTGCATGATGTGGAAATGGTGAGGCCCAGGCAGCTTGAGCATGCTTTTTGGGAAAGCACCTTCTTCTGCATGGCTTCACAAAGTAACAACTGGTCAGGCAGACTTTGCACCACTGCCACCCTTTACTGTCAGTCCACTTAGCTGCTGCAGTCCTCTAGATCTAATGTGAATAACCAGAGAAGAAAAACAATCTGGGATAAACATTTTCTATTGCTTTCTACCAAAAGCAATTTGGTTTTTTGGCTGGGCAAATGATGTGAATGAATTTCCCTCATTCTCACAGTCACTGCCCTTGCCTTTAAACAGCAGCATAAAGGAGAACACAAATGCACCTAAGCCACCTCGCCTTCAGTGTCTGTAGACAATTTCTTATTTGCTGACGTTTTACTTCTGCATCAAATCTTTCAGGTAGCACTGCATCCGTACACAGACAGGTAGGGACTGTTAGGTTCAGCAGAGGAATGTTTTTCTGTCTTTCATACACTTGTATTTGTAAATACAACACTTTGATCAAGTAAGGGTAGAAAACAGTTTGCCTTAAGTAGGTCAGTATGTCCAGAGAGCACAAAAAATGCCACCATCACACTATCTCAGTTTGAAGTATTAAACTGGAACAAATAAAGCCTAATACTTTTCCTTCTCTTGTTTTAGATACACAAGTTAAAACATTCATTAAAACTGGAAGATACACTAATGGCCTTGGAAAGGCTACAAGCCACTTCAGTGGGTCTGTTGAATTTCCTGAGGAAGTGAGAGACCACCTTATACAGAATGATTTCTTAACCTTTGTGGTAGCAACTGAGGCTACATTTTTGATATCTAATGGTAGATCTCTTTCACATTCAAATAACAACTAAATTGTTTTGGCAAAACATGAAAGAAGATCTTTGTCAACAAAGGTCTGCAAACCTTTCTTTAAGTCTATGTGCAAATACTCTGATGCAAATAATTGTCCCACTGTGCAAAAGGCCAGTGGTGCTTCCTGTGTAAGATTATTTTTTAAGCTTAAAATGTAGTTGTTTCTCTGTACTCCCTTTTTCTCTTTTTTTCCTTTGTTTTAGGTGGAGACTTCCAACTGTGAAGGTATCTGATACGTTAGGGATCGAGAATGGAGAGCTGTGGTTACCAAGAGCCAATATTGATGTAACAGTTCCACCAGTTCTGATCTGTGATCCATCCTCATTCTTCTTCCAGTACTGCATTAGGACAAGGATGCAGTCTGTGCACAGCATCTCAAGTTCAGTAATTTAGAATCTGCCAAAACTCCCAGGCTCAATTTTCTCATGCTGAACCAGTCCCATAATACTTGGATTATAGCAGCAGTGGTAAGCAGCACAAGCACAATGTAATCTTCCACTATGCTTCTTTGTCTTTCAGGATTTACCCCAAAGGAAAGTACAGACAGAGAACTCCTCAAGTAGCTTTCAGGTGTATCATAAATGCTTGTATAGACCTTTGTATTTGCTTTAAAATAAATAAA